GGTAATCGATATTTTTCCACTTCACTTCTCGTGTCGTGCATTGCTCAATAGAGACGATTAGCAATGAAAAATGAGAACTTTTGGGATCGGTGATAATTTGCGAAGATCTATTTCGAAAGAGAAAACCTTGTGAAGGCTAGCAAAGCGAAATGACTTTTCTCGAAGTTACTTGAATTCTATAGTACAGTACAGTATATGGAACTCAGTCTAGTCTCAGGGGTTGAAAGTTTACTACTCCATGTTGTCAAATACGTACCGAGGAAAGAGTAAGTTTTTCTTGCAAATCATTGCAACTTAGTGTCCAAGTTTTCCAAAATTTCAAGCGTTCTTTCTATATTCATTCCTAGACTTGAAGACATCAGCGGCAAGCGTCGAAGGTGACGAAGCTAAGTGGTCGGACATCGTCCATCAAGCGTCATTTGTCGTGCAGTGCTAGTTGTCGTAAGTTGTATAGTGATGATATCTTTTCGATTTTAACTCGCGGAAGGTCCGGGTTACATCTGGCTGGGTTAGAAGCTCTGTGTATTCGTTAACTAGATCGAAAATGTGTTATCGTTGCAGTTGTTCGGTGTCACGCCTCGTGACAGTGTGACAAGTGCTCCCTGATGTGTCCAACGTGTTTGTCTACAACTTGTAGGTTTTGGTTTTTTAGTTGGTAACACTTTGATCATTTTATCGCCTATGTTGTAGTGTTGACCTTTTCTTTCTCTCTCTACTATTTGTATGTGTTTTCCAAATTTCCAACATTCCCTGTACTATCCTGAAGAAAAGGGAAAAAAACGTTTGATAGTACGAAAAGTCTACTGAATTGTGTGTTTTGCGTCTCTGCATGCGAAGATTCTGATTGCGAAACTGTTTTTTCACCGCCTCCAAACTACCGCTTGAATGATAATTTCATTGGTTTTTTCCGGGTCGCTTTTCAATACTCCCTGTTTTGCATCGGGAACCTTGTTCAGTTTGATAACATCTGGAGCCATAACAACTGTATACAACAATTTTGTACTGGTACTATTTAGCCATCTCAGGCCGGCCCAAGGGCAAGGCCACAACTGTATGCCAGACTCAAGAGAATTCTTTTTTTGGCATGCTGACACAGCTTCAGTTCACGCGCACGGGCTGAGTACGTGAAAGGTTCTCGGACCCCGTTTGATGTGCATCTAACTTCAGCGGTGACAAATGAGCAGTGACACTTGACAATAACAGACCGTGTCAGTAGCACTGACAGTTTGTGTGAGTAGCATATGCTCACCAGAGGTAGACTGTAGGGTGTAGTCACCCTTTGTTTGCCGGATCTTTGCGGATCGCTACTGCAGCGTGTCACACCTGAACAAATGCTGCCAAGGGATTATGAGTTCATTGTAGCTCAGTTGTGGCGTGAGTGCCTTTTTCATCACAATTCTCTACCTGAATTTTCAGTGTGGCTAGATGTTGATATTATTTGACTCATCGTTCCACAACTGGGACTCCGTGACAGCTATGCTGTCATGCATTGGCAATGGTCGCAGTCCAGGCAACACAAACTGTTCTTGTACTGGTCTACATACGCAGTAAGCAGCCCGGCTTGCACGATCAAGTGCAGCCTGAATGAAAAATACCCGTAACCCTCTTATTCTAAAACCCTATTATTTACTCTGATTCTCGTTGCAGCCATAGCCCCACAAGCCGTAAGGGGCATTGACTATGCAGCTTCAATATACAGTGCTGCTCAATGAAATCCAGTGGCGTGACTCAAGTAAGCGCCGGGTGTCGCGCAGCAGCAGACTGGATTAAATTGAGTAGGACTGTACATACACGTTGACATGTGAAGTGGTACCCGGCTGCTAGAGCGCTGTTCTCGGAACATCTCCTGCAGTGCAAAATGCTTTAGCCTACGTATCCCATCTCTGTGGTTCAAATTCGGCAAACACTGCGTGCTTTGCAGGTGATGCGGCTTTGTGACACGTTTACCGATTGGAGGGCTTAGCTCGCTGCAGCAGTGCTCCGGGTGGCAGTCATGGGTCTGGTGCCCATCAAGACATGGATGCAGGAGCATTTACCAAGACTACACTGTGAACTTCGAAGTAAGGACTACGAAGCCTCTCCCTCGAATTTCATGTTGTTCGATGCAACATGAGCATGCTGGTGGTTGATGGAGGTGACAGTGTTGTGATTAGAAAAATATTCTACTTTTAAACCGATCACGAGGCCCTGTGTTTCCCGCTGTCATAGGGGGAGCGCCACAGAAGTTATGGAAGCTAGAATTACATCGTCGCTGTCATATGTTACGTAAAGTGACAGTTGTACCGTTGGTGCGCTTTCATGCGTCGGACATCGATTCCTCCGGCTTATAGCCAACTACTTAACTAAAGACTCTAGCTTTCAGCAAATTCAATGCGTTCGCACATTTGAGAAGCCTGAGAGTAGTGTAAGGCGGATATCAGGGACAAGACATCTATACGCGCTAAAGATGCCCTGGCTGAACTATAACATACCTTGAAAGGCACGCGTACAAAGCCGTAGGTGCATGAGAATACCTTTATTTACAACACCAACACCATCAAGTAAGAACCAAATCAAAAATCCAATGTCATGGTCAGTGGTGACCCCTCACGCACGCTTACGCACACAAAGAAGAACAATCATGCCCACGCGCACACATACCCACACCCACACATGCCCAATGACCCTGGAGTATGCTGAATAACACTAAAAACAATAATTATGATGTAAGACTAGCTAACTCAGCGGAGGGCGTTAGAGTTGTAACTAAGAGTTCCATGGCGCTAGGCAATCATCAGACAACGAAAGTAAGAAGAAAGAATACAAATAACGAAGAAACAATTGCTACATTAAGATCTTCTTCAAATTTGTCACCAATGCAGCACCAGTGCTCGGAGCCTCTAGAGCCTCTCTGAGCAATCCCCATGTACGTTTCAAAAAGTAAGGGGACCAATAGAGAAGAAAACCAAAAAGTTCAGCCCCAAACCATAAATGGTTATGCAAGGTATTGCCTTTTTTGTTTTTCATATGCTCAACCAAAACAGATGATTCATTTTGAAAAAATTGACAAAAAGGCATCACCACGTTATACAGCAAGAAAAAGGGAAATAGTGAACACAGACACAACGCTGCTCAGTAAGTAACAAAAACTTTAGCTGCAAGATATAGTTCATGTATAAGCATGCAAGAATGAATATTATCTGTATGAAAATGGCATAAGGCATGCGTTGGGACTTACCGAACCCATTGGTCTGCTGATTTGTATACCCTCGCGAACACAATCATAAGGATTAGACTCACAAAAGCACGCCGCGGATACTGGGTTTTATTGATCACGATTTGACCATAACCAGACGTTTAGAGTGCTCCAGGCCAGTTATGCAAATCTGCCAGCAATGTCAGAACTCCAGAATCACAATAGCTGTCGGGTGCAGGCGCCTTTCTCTATATTGCTCTTGTGGATCCTAGAAAGAAAAGAAAATCTGCCTCTTATAACTCTTATTATGAAGTTATGCCACATCGCAATTGTGCGTGCTCAGCGAGTATTCAAATTTGATGTACTTCAACAAGTGGTTCATCATTTCCAAGGCAAGCTTCATCACGCACTTGAGCTGGGTAGGACTGCGACCACAGGATGAGTTCCTCCATGGGCACGGACTCTGTACCCGGGTAGACATCATATCCAGGCACAGTGCCACAGTCTGCTGAGCTTGTTCTGCTCAGAGGCCACTCAGCCACACTGCTTTGTGCTGGAATACAATCTGCATTATCACGGGACGCCGATGCCAGACTTGACAAACTTGTGATTCGTTTCTTAGACCTAAGTGGCGCTGAATTATTGTCCATGGTGGCGTGAGTGGCACTGGTCGAATAACCACGTGTGCGACGCATATTCCAGGAGTTCCCAATCACAGATGTCAACGTTGATGTCCTGGTACGGATACCCTCCTTTGCTTCCTTGCCCAAGATTGTATGCACAAAAACTGCAAATCCCTGCAGCGAGTTTAGAATTGTGAAGGTGTACTGAATTGCTATGTGACTGTTGATGACCACTATAAATCCAAATAGCCATGTCAAGCCTAGCATAATGGAAAGGGAGGCGACAATCGCCAGCAGGGATTTTCCTTTCTGGGACTTCTTTATTGCGCTGGTCTTTTTCTTACGTTTGACCAACGCATATAGTACAGCCACGAACAATGCGATATTGTAGAGGATGCACAGAGCAATCGGTGTGACCAAGCCAGCGAAAAATGCTGTGCCTGGCCGAATCCAGCATCTGCCCAAAAGAAAAGAAGAGCAGAGCAAAGAAGGATGTTCAAAATACTGAAAGTCAACACTTATTCGGAGCATATCTATTGCCTACCTATTTTCGGCTATTTTCTACCTTGGCATTTTGGCTCAAAAATTGTTGCGGTCGAAAATAGGCTTTCCGAGGTTCAGTGTCTCAGTGTATGCAAAAAACGTAGTACCGGCTGACGTGTGAGTGGGGGCAAGATGTGTTTGACCCTGGGAGGCCGAAATTTATACACACCACCATCAATTTTTCAGACTTACAAGTACTTCAGAGAGAGAGGGAGAGAGAAAGGAAAACCCAGAGCTGGAGTAGGATGAGAGTGAAAGGTAGACAGATTGAGAGTAACAGCAGGAGAGAGAGAGAGTATCCACGGGAGAGAGAAGTAATAGCGATAAAGAGATACATATAGAAGGTAATGAATGGATAAAGTAGACGGTAACTGCGATCTAGAGTCTCTCTATGATATGGGAATGTGGGATGCTCTTAACACAGTTTATTTGTAACATGCAAACTTACAGGTACGTGTACTATAACATTGTCATCTGATGTGGCGTGTGTGTGTGAGAATGCCATACAAGCGTGGCAGGAGCACCTCAAGATCATTTGAAAGTATAGGGAGTGATTATGTGTCAGACGGCGAACTACTTTCTCTTCCCTACACACTTGCATAATATACTGCATCGAACAACTAGACAACGCTAAGTAGTTATCATACCAGCAAACTTACCGATTTCCCATTCCATATGCTTCCGCATTTGTAGCTCCAGCCATGATACTAACCACTACCATAGGAAGTACTGGAGAAACATGTAGATTGAGGGAGAAACGGCAACAAATCAACGATATGTACCATACTGAATTGTGTTTTTACTAGATGAGCAACATTGAAATCAACCGTAATTCAAGTAGCACGGTTCGTAATCGGAAAAGCTATTTTCACCTAATTCCAGTACACAAAATAACCTGGCATTGCCCAAACATTGCGATCACTCATTTTCTTTCTAATGGAAATTTTGGGTGGAAGTATTGGTGTGTTCCTCACCGAAAACAGAAGAAAGAATAAGTTTCCTCTGTCGGTCGCCTCTATCATCAAAGACGATTACGACTTGTTTGTACAGGAAAGTCGCATCCACTGACATGCACATGAAAGCACACAGGAGTAGATAGTGTAGCATGATGGCTATGGACTTGCAGGCTATCACACTCTTCTCCAAGTTATCATAAAATATCATAACGGTGAAGAGAGTCAGGAAGATGAGAAGGGTGATGCTGAATCCGAAGAGGATGCGATGATGAAGATGACTACGAAGCTTTCTAAAGAAAACGAACAAACAAACGTTTATTAAAACTTTTATTCCCGTAGCTATGCAAAACACATTACTCCAGTAACGTCTGGCGCTAGCCAGGGTCCACACAGTTTTAATTCTGTGTTAGTTTGTGCCCTCGGCAGGCCTGGCGCTATCTTGTACCTCTCCCGCATCGTACCAATAAAGACAGCTGGCGACAATATTCAAATAGGGCGTTCAAATGCAAGATCATAACGATTAGCAATTTGGAAGAATGAGTATGTATGCGAAGTGCATTGGGGAATGCATGCAGATCCATGGTGCGGGTTCGAATCCTATAGGTTATGTCTGAAAAAAGGAAAAAGAAAATTTTTTTCTTCAGACTTTCCCGTTTGTCTCTTTCCCTCAAACTAGTGAAGATTTTATGACTTGGGGCTCCCCGCGTGCTAGAGTGTACATGAAGTGTGTGGGTACAGTGAGGGCCGCGTCCCACCCGCCTGTGTGGATTCACAGGAAGTGTGAGTTACGAAGTCTGAAGAAAATGTTGAACAGTCTCTGTTGGGATGACGACTACACCATAGCTCAGTGGTTAGAGCATCGCTAGCTACAAGCGAGGGTCCCTGGTTCGAGTCCTGGTGGTGACAGTCAATTTTTTCTTCAGACTTTTCCCGTTTGTCTCTTTCTCTCAAACTAGTGAAGATTTTTGACTCGGGGCTCCCCGCGTGCTAGAGTGTACGTGAAGTGTGGGGGTACAGTGAGGGCTGCGTCCCACCCGCCTCTGTGGATTCACAGGAAGTGTGAGTTAAGAGGACTGAGGAAAATGTTGAACAGTCTCTGTTGGGAAAACGACTACACCATAGCTGAGTGGTTAGAGCGTCGCTAGCTACAAGCGAGGGTCCCTGGTTCAAGTCCTGGTGGTGACAATCAATTTTTTCTTCAGACTTATCCCGTTTGTCTCTTTCCCTCAAACTAGTGAAGATATATAACCTCCCTATGTTTTTTTTGCTTAGGTCATCAAGGCGGTAGACGGTGTCGTATTACCCTCGAACGCAAAGAGAAAGTATATTTTGTTCGCTCAGGGCCCTACGCTATGCTTTTTTGCCTAGCTCATCATGCATGTTATTCGAACAGATGGAAACTTATTGCAATACAATGATGTAGCCGATCAGTTCGTTGTGGTGTGGACGGGCATTGTAGCGGTCATGGTCAACGTAAAACACTATTACTTTCACATACACAAGCTCGGGGAGCAAAAGTCTCTCTGTCCTATAAGCTGCCACATAACAACTAAATACAAAAACCATGCACTTCACACGAGCTGACTTGCACGCGTGGCCCCTTTCACAAACCCAGAAAACGGGATTGGTCTATTATAACGCATGTACGAAGTCACTAGATTACACCGCACCAGAGATGAAGACGAGAGCTGTTGCCGAAGAACGGCTTACGAAAAGGATGCCTGGCGCTATCCCGTGCATGTACCTATCCCGCACCGTACCATCAAAGACAGCCGGCCACAATAATCAATTGGGGGGCTTTTAAATGCAGTATCATAACGTAAAGCAACTTGGAAGAATGAGTATGTTTGCGAAATGAATCCCAGGTTATGTCTTAAAAAAATGAAATATTGTTACTATTGCCTAACTCATATTCAAATTTGATTGAAACGTTTTTGCAATACAATGATGTAGCCAATCAATGGAAAAACACATTTCCATCAGTTCTAATAAAGCATGGTGAGCTAGACAAAAAGCATGGCGTAGGGCCCTGAGCTTCCAAGCTCTCCGGTTCAAATTATCAATGTATTCATGCCTCATGGTATCATTCATTTAGACCGGCATTAGTGGACATAGTTCACGATGTAAATACTGCTCCGCTGTTATTTATTGGAATTTATAACTTATTTCAGTGATTTTATTCGACTTTCAAAAGACAAGTCTGAATAATAGTATCTTCCATTATCTGTTATGGACCATCGTGGAAATAAGGAAAAATCCACGGCTGTTTACTTACTGATAAAGGTCAAGTTCATGAAGATGTGAAAGAAAGTAATTGGTTTCCTATTCACTGAATGTATCTGCAGGTTGTTTCATTTTATATCCTGAAACCACGTTTGAAGTGGTCCCTCGCCTCTGTGCATGCTGGGATCTAAGTATCCCCTGTATTGGCAGAATACTAAGTTGTATAATACAGATTGGGGTCTGGCATTCGCTAAAGTGGCTGAGAGATGTAGTTATATGACAAAATTTACCGGTAGATGTTGTACTCCTTTCTATGATAAGAATCTGACGTGTATCCTAAGCAAAGGCTAAGACTTGCTACACATCATGATTAGACAAGGATAGTGGAGAATATTTCATTTCTGCTTCATTTCACAAACAAAAACTACCAGGTACTGGTCTTACGGTACAAGCGTGATGAGGATGACGTTGCCGAGCAGTCCTAACATAGAGAGTCCACAGCCCACCAGTGAAACGTATTGGAGCACTACGTGAGGAACGTCTTTGACCTCATCAATGGCACTACGCGTCTAGATACACAAAGGCAGCAAAGTATAATGAGTTGTGTTTCTGAATGTGTGCAATGACCCGTGGAATTACTTTGTCAAATATTCAAGCGGTAGTTTGGAGGCGGTGAAAAAACAGTTTCGCCATCTGAACCTTTGCATGCAAAGACACAAATCCACACAATTCAGTAGACACTTCCTTCTATCAAACGTCTTTCCTTGTTAGAAGCCTTGTATATTCGTAAAGTAGATCCAGAACTATGTCCACAGAAGCAGAATGTGTTATCATTGCAGTTGTTTGGTGTCACACCTCGTGAAAGTGTGAAAGTGTTCCCTGATGTGTTCAATGTGTTTGTCTACAACTTGCAGCTTTTACTTTTGAGTTTTTCACACTTTAATCAATTTACAGCCTATTTTGAAGTATTGACTTCTTCTTTCTTTTTCTACACAGTTATGTGTTTTTCAGAATTTCCAACATTCCCTGTACTATCCTGAAGAGAAGGGAAAGAAAATGTTTGATAGAAGGAAGAGTGTCTACTGAATTGTGTGCATTTGTGCCAAATATGCTAATCATTACAGGACTATATTTGAACACGTTAGTCCCTTGCTCCAAATTTTGGACAATTTCGACTAACAAATAGACCAGCAAAATTGGTCAGGTGGTTGCAGGACACTTACGAATAGAACAGCAAAGTTGGTCAGGTGGTTTCAGGAGCAAACTGTCCGGTTTGCTGACACACCACCGTAGACCCGTGTGCATCCGCGTTCATCCCAGCCACCGTTTCCATTATCTAACATGGATATAAAGTCAGAACATTTGCGTCAACGCACGACATAACGAGAGTCATGTGTGCTGTACTCAGCACTGTAGTTTCATCTGAGTACTCAGTTGTCATCCCTCGTAGCGAGATACATTATCCTATCACAGCCATGTGTGTCTAATAACCCTTTATGGACCACATGTACAGATTTCGAGCTCTTGGAATAAAAACCGTTCTATCGCTCAATCGTAACATACCCATTTCTGGTGAAATTTCGGACACTGTCATCTGCAACTTGAAGACAAAACTCCCATCTATCCACAGGAACAACGGCTGGAGCACAATGTGTGGTTGAAGAGGTTTAAAACGAAGCCATGGGTGTATGTATGTGTGTGTGTGTAGATTATCATCATGGGCTCACACACCTTCCTGGATACGGAGTGAGGTGAAACTCATTAAAAATGGCACACAGACTGCTGCTATCTGCCATAAAAAGGTGCGAAAGAGAAGAGCGAACTGGCGCAGACCAAACGACTTGTTTTGGAATGCTAGCGTTTCAACTTTCTCTTTCTAAGGGCTTTCCAGGAAGCCTACATTTTTAATGAAGATCTTGAGTAATTGTTAAACTTAAGGTTGAAAGAAAATGGCTTTTTGCACTGGTCCGGTCTGCACACAGTCAGTGATTTACAGCACACATGTGTAGTGCTTTTCTCATGAGCAGTATGGTAAGATATGTGAAAAAAGTTATCATTGTCGAGCTAGTTCTCGGCCAATGGTGGTGGGAGTTGATGCTCTCCCTATTCAGGGATGTACAGTCCCAACATTGTGAAGCTTCTTTGGTCATAATTTCTCCATTGTTGTTTAACAGAGACATAGTCCACTGCTCAGGCATGATTGTATGACCTGAGGTGAAAGCCACTGACAAAGTGAAATAGTTGCTATTGATTTTGTAGATATCAGGTAATGAAAGAGGATTGTAAACATTCTTACTTTGATCAAAGTTCCAGTAGACGCAAGTCACATTAACCTTTTCATCCTAAACGACAGAGAGGACAGTACAAATGGGAAATCCACACTGAATGCTAAAATTTGACCAAGACTCAACAAGAGCGATATCTGGTGTTCAAAGTAGCTATCTACACAGTGTATACATGTCTACTCAATCTGCAGACAGAATCGTCTTGAACTTTATGGACTCATCAGCGCAGCATAGAGAAAATGAAGCCGAAACTGTTAGCAAAGAAAAATACATTTTCCAAAGCCAGGCCCGAACGTACCCTGCCAGAGTGTCAAACTGGCGAGTCAATGAGCTCAGCATTGCGGAAACAGCAAAGGCACGACCCAACATGCGAGACATGCATGTCTACTACATCGTTTAGTATTCCCATTACATCACATATTAGGCATGCTCTGATTTGTGTGTTGATTTTGGTTTATCTAACCAAGAGCCTACTTGAATACACTCCGGTTCAGCGACTTAGACATGGTATAATAAAATTCCTCTCACTCAGAATTTCATGCATAGGCGTATCATCACATAGGATACACACTTTCTCGGGAAGTTTCACCAGAACTCTTATAGTTCCCTTCAGACACATTTCCGCGGGCTTCGCACAGTCGATCTACGCCCCAAAGGAAACTTACCCACAAATTTTGAGTGATATTAGATAGATCGACCCAGACATGTTCTCTTTTAAGAGAGCATGTCAAAAAATTCCCACATGCATCATTTCTTTTAGTTTTACATGTAAGCCCTGAATAACGTACCACAGACGATTCAGTGAGAATATCAAATGACATTACAACTGGCCTTTGAAGGTCACTGAGTTGCGAGTCGCCAGCCTGAGCTGAAATGATCTCCGTAGCTACTGATGTGTTGGCTGACAAATTTCCATCCTGGAATAAGGTTTGCGTCTTGTAGAGGATGAAGCGAGTTGGGGCAATATTACACAGGGAATCATTTGAGAGAGACAGACGCTCAGTTGCTGTCTGGATTGTGTAGCCAGAGATGTCAAATGCAACGCCAAACCTTGTCACTGGAATTATCGACAAAAACGAAAATAGAGTAGTTAACATGTCCCACAGTGCTGTGGCATCACAAATGTATACTAAACAGAGACTTCAAATAGGAACATCTAATTGTAGTTGCAGTTCAGTCAAATTGTAGGAGATCTTCTTAACCATTGTTGGCCCACTAGCCCCTGAAAAAACATACATTTATCGGTCCCTGACTAAATACGGTCTTAAATTGGTCTATTCAGATGGTGGGCCAAGGAATTAAATTTAACGTGGGCTCAATGTATGCGATCGAGTCCACCAAATAAATCAGATATTTTGAACAGTCAGATGTGCACAATCTAGCACAAAACTGACAGGGATTACTGAGAGATTCCACGGCATGAAAGTAATCTTGAGCACTGCTCGACAGGCCCTTGGTTTGTGCTATTGAGCAGTGCTCAAGCTGACTTTCATGCAGTGGAATGTCTCAGTACTCCCTTTCAGTTTTGTGGTCAAATAGCGCATTATGCTCCATGTTTCAGAGCGACAAGCTTTGAAAAGCAGCTGAACAGTACATCCCAAAGGAGCGCCTATATGGATGACGGTAACTTAAATACATTAGATGTGCCATCACGTTGATTGGAAAGGTGTTTTGGATCTAGGTTTGACTATGAAAGAGCTACATAGTCAGAAAGATATACACATATTCATGCTTACTCGTTGCGGATGCATTCGTCTCCCCCAGGAAAAACCCTCCGGGGGACTTGGAGCGGAATGCTTGGGTTGAGAAGCTATTCACAGGGCAGCTAACAGCAAATGCAATATTCTCCTGCTGCTCCTGGAAAGGTTCATTCACCTCAACTGTAACAGTAGATACAAGTCGTTCCATGGACTTTGCAGGTCTGTAGCAGGGAGAAAAGGGAAGGGGGATTATTAATTATTTGGGAGAATTGTTCAAATACTGCCAATAGTTTGAACTTTCTAAGGTGAAGAACTCTTCCTCTCCTCTCCTCCATGCGCTCTCACAGCCGACTCACTGCTATCCTCGGTAGCCATTACACACACCAATAGCCATAAAAGGAAGGGTTGCAGGTAGATGATGAAATTCCTCCTGACAGCTGACAGGCGAAACAGCTGTCAGGAGGAATTTCAGTATCTACCTGCAACCCTTCTTTGTATGGCTGTTGGAGTATGTAATGGCTACGGAAGGTAGAAGTGAGTCGGCGGTGAAAGCGCATAGAGGAGAGGAGAGGAAGAGTTCTTTACATTCTATTGGCCGAATAGTGCCGTTCACCATTTGAAATTTCTAACGTGAAGTAGTTTATTTTGTGTTCCATGCTTGAACAGATCCACACGTTGTGAATGGAGCATTAATACAGCACCAGTAGCAGTCTACGCGAACGCGGAGAATTTTGACATGTATTTCCGCATGTCTGTTTGACAGTTTTTTTTGTTACGCTCAGTTTTCAAGGTGCTGAAGAACGAATGAGAACATTTTGCTGGTATCAAGATCTGGAGCCAAATAGACAAATTGCTAGATAAATACACTGAACGAAAGTAATTCTACTGGAAGGTTTCTCTATCTGCGGAAAGCTATCGGTTGTGATATCATACGGTTTTATCAAGTGAAGTTCAGAGTCACTGGTGGAACACAACACAAATAATTCCAGAAAGTGACAGCGCATCTTCAAATTAGCTCAAAGAGTTTTGGTCGGAGTATATATGTTGGACTCAGTAGAGCGTCCAGCCCCTATATGATGTCCAACCCCTATATAGGGTCCATTGGTCCAAAATCCACTGTACAGAGTCCAAACTTGGAATCAACTGTGAGCTCAAAGTTTCGATGGACATCACTCCCTGTATAATAGAGTCCAGCCAATTGGCTTCACCCCTATAATAGAGTCCATTGGTCCAAAATCAACTGTACGGAGTCCAAACTTTGATATCAACTATAAAGAGTCTTTATGTGGACAACACCCCCTGTATAAAGTCCAGCCAATTACGCATCCCCTATCGAGTTCGAAAATAGACATAGGATCTGCTGTAAGCAGTGAATATTAACCAGAAAACGGCCTCTACCTTTAATCCTTTACATCATTCACTTCTAAAGATAAAAAAATATGTATTGAGGCGCCACTGCAGCCACGTCATTACATGAAAAACCCTACAAACACCATCCTCAAATCAAGTGGTCTCTTCGCAGACGCTGCAAATTACAATATCTCAATCATGTAGTGTTGCCAAATTATTGTGCACGCACACACACATGCACACACCCACACAACGCCAAGAAAATACCTAGAAAAAAACCAAGAATCGAAAGAGATTAATGGAGAGCCCAGGATTAATTATTTGATTTCAAATTATTGTGCGCGCACGCGCACACACACACACACACTTATACAACGCCAATAAAACACCAAGAAAAGAGAAGAGACACAATACACACGCAACTCCAACAGCCATGCAAACGTCCACCCATTTACATGTAAAGTCAAGAGGGATAACAAATAATTATAGGAAACGGATGCGTACGGGGACGGGTACACGCACGTTTACATACACGTAGTAGTGTTAGAGAGTAACATAGTGCAGTGGTCAGCATAATACTAGCACATGCTGAGAGTGCAATAGCAAGCTTCACCATTGCTCATGGCCATGCAAATGTTCAGCAGCACTCAGTTCCGCAAGCTTCTGAAGATCAGCACAACTGCAACAAATAGATAGCACAAGGATACGCTTATTACCGGAATGATGCATGGGAGCACACAACTACCAAGTTCTCAACGAATGTGATGGTCAATGAACATCAATCCACTCTAAGACCTGTGAACAGGTGATGATGGGTTCAATAATCTATTAGTAATACGAGGAATAATATCGTTTGTGCACACTCAAAACGCACAGACACACCAACATACATGTAGTGTACACAGTGTTTCACTTCACTGCAACTAAATTCAAATGAGATGATTTGAACAATCTGTACAGCGTTGCTGTCAGTCAGTCTTCCCCAAGATGGAAATGCAATGATTTGTTGTCACGAGGCAGTTTCACTGACACAATGTCATGTTCGTGACATCAAAACGGTTACTTCAGGGAATACGAGTATTAGCTTGAGAAGCTTTTTCTTGTCATTGGCATACAAGCAATCCTCCTAGTCCTACTACTACTAGTACACTGACACTGCGTTTGTGGATCCCATTGTATTCGACATCATACTACAGGAAGAGTGTCGTGTAGTTCACATAATTATCACAGGGATAAAAATACATTTATCATGAAATAAAAATTGATGATAGCTAGACGATCATATACGATTGATGCAAAGTCCTTGCAGTCCTTGAGGACTATTACGAAGTGGTTGATTACTTTTAGGGCATTCATTCAAGCAACATCAAACAAACGCGATACGCTCCTTGAAAATGGAAAAAAAATTCAAGCATAACGACAGAACAGCAGACCAATCGAAACTAGTAAAAGCTTCCTTACCTCAGTCATCGTCCTGCCATGTAGTTGGACAGCCTTTTGACACGGTGGTACAGGCAGCTCTTGTCCAGTCAAACAGGGTATCCTTGTGGCGTCGAACGAAAGAGAGTGTCAGTGTATCTGACTCGTCAGATTGCAACTGTGCTGAACTTTTCTCTTTCTCCGCTTTCTGCTTTCATCCATCGCTCTGATGAAACCGTTCAAACGTCTTACTGGCAGCAATGGCCAGCCAAACAGGGGATCCTTGTGGCGTCGAACGAAAGAGAGCGTCAGTGTACCTGACTCGTCAGATTTGAACTGTGCTGAACTTTTCTCGTTCTGCAATTTCTGCTTTCATCCCGCGCACTGATGAAACGTCTTCAGAGAACCACAAGACGCTTTCCAGATTTGATTTTGAACGTCTCCTTATCTTCCTTGGTTAGCTCGAGACAGATTACTGTCAGGAACTGCACAGCAGAATTGGCAGCCATGGCTGAAGTGAAGAAAGGAATGCGCTGCCACGAGGCAAGCAAAACTGATTTTTTTTTAAAAATGTGTTCTCTTTCGGGGCACAACACACAGGACGGCGTGACTGGATAAACTGGACTCCTGGACCGTGAATAGGGGACTTGTAGAAAAAGTGTACTCCTTATAGGGGATTGCGCGGCAGGATGAAGCTGATCAAAACTGAGTGGACTCCTGGACTCTGTATAGTGGATTTTTGGACCAATGGACTCCATAATTATAGGGTGCTGGACATCATATAGTGCATGGACTCTATACTGAGTCCTACATATACATGCGAGAAACACACTGAGTTTGGCAAAATATTTTTTGTGGTCTTTGGATTTCTTAGGCCAGCTGGGTTAAGTCATATGGAGTGTAGGAGTCCCTACCGTTTTGCCGGTGCTGACATCACGACCTTGGCATCACTGTTCACACTGAGAATGTTATCCAGCGTCTTCAAGGTACTCTGCACAATCTATTGGAGAAAAACGAGCGCCGAAAAGTCACCGTAAGAAATATGTCACTGAATGGATGTCTGTAGGGTAGTCAGTGCAAACATCTACACAAAGCTCGGAATATAACTCGTTATTGCCTTGCAACACCTTAATTATTGACCGTCAATAGAACGGAGTAAAAACGGAGTAAAAACATGGCCTCAGAAGTTATGGGGATCAATCCAAATTTTGGACCCCCATGTATTCCTATGATGTCCTATTTTACGGGTATACATATTACTTGTGATAAAGCATCAATACTGCATTAGTATTATAGTGTTCGAGTCCTGCGTACCTCCTTCCCGACAGTTTGGTTGAGCACTTCATCTTTGCTGACTGCTGCAACAAGGTTGAATATGGCCGTGGAGGCAAAGTCCACAGCATCGGTTGTCAACTCCTCCGTATTGTTGGTCAGGCTTGCTACTGTTATGGAAGTGCTAAGAACATTCTCGGGCAGACTGGTATTAAATTCCACCTGCGAATGTAAACAGAAGTGAGGTACAAAAATATAGTAATCATGAATGTGGGAGTGGTTGTCTGCCGCACAAACTCTGTATTCATTTTCCTCGACCAAATTCATTTAAACCATACTAATTCGGAATGACACTTCTCGCAGCTGCATTATAAATATCTTTTAATCAGCTAGTATTTTGGCAATACTATCCAACAATTGGATGCACTGCTACTGACTTCACACAGTCAAATGGTTCTTTCTCAATGATTCGGTCACTCTGACCATCTTCAGGATGAAGTGGGCAAGGAAGTATGGCAGACTTTGAAACAACATGCTGGCTAAGTGGGAGCAGAAACGGCAAGAAAAAACTCTCTAGCGAAAAATAACACATCCCACATGATCACAATAGTTGGGACAGTTCTCACATAATGTAAAAAAACTAGAGCTGTTTTAAAGTCTGCCTTGCTGCCTTGCCCACTTCATTCTGAAGACGGTCAGAGTGGCCGAAATGTTGAGAAAGAACGGTTAGACTGTGTGAAGTAGCAATAATAGTGAGTGTTGGCTAGTATTGCCACAACTAGAGTTCACTTACACCATGTTGATAAATATACATAATTGTGGGCGACGAGGACTTGTGAAAGTGTGGAAGCTGGACAGCGATGGTTGAACTTTCTGTTCGTGCCTCTTTCACACAGCCACTTTAGGTGTTGATATTGGAAACAAATTATTTGCAACCAGCGCCAGCGCTATCTGCCATGCATGGCACTGATAGTGCAGCGTACTACCAGTTGTGCTTCCTGCAATTCTCAGCACTAATTGCCGAATACTCAAGGACCTTTGTCACATTTCGCTACGCCTCGGTTCCGATTAGACGTCAGTTGTATCCTGGACAATAAACCCGTCTCCCACTAGGCAGTCATGGCAGTTGTTGTAAGAGTCAAGAAGATGTACACCCTCCCCCGCCACTCTCAAGGGTTCTCTGCAGATCTGTTCGTACTTCGCCTGTAGCACGTGCCGTGCGTTCTATCAGGTATGAAATTCAAGAAATTCTCTTTTTCAGCGTAATACAATTCTTGGTTAGCAGTAGGCAAAGAGGGAAACGTGTTAGAGCTTCACACAATCCATAATACTACGAAGCCTGGCGTCTGCAACCCTGCTGCTGCTATTTATGATGGAACACTTCACGTTATATAAGCATACATAATCACAATAGCACAAAGTTCATGCAGTCATCTAAGGCAGGATATTACCTTTGACAGTTGCTGCAAGGCAGCGGTACTTGGCGTGGGGCAAGCTGTTATATTCGGAGCGGCCCATTCAGCCATTGCCAAACCGGGATTATGCTTCCTGGGAACCTCAGCGCAGTGTCTTGTAGCATAGCGTACAAGGTCATCCTCCAATGCGACTGGGCAATCCAGTGTAGCTGTGTCATGTTGGAATGTCTCGGGCCAGTGGAAATCACCACGTTTACCTCCTGTTGTTGTGGTTGAACTGCACACGTCTGAGGAGATGTGAAAGCAAGAGCGAAATGCATTACACAGGTCAAGTACTTCACCGATTTTCAGTCTCACTCTATTTAAAGTTGCACCCCTGTTTTCAGGTTTGAGGCATGATCTTTTGATGTATTCAATTCAGTAGCAAGTCATGTTTTGATTGTAAGTCGCACAACCTATTAAATGATTCAACTTATCTGGATAGTCACTGGCGGCAGCCACGATCCGTCATCTGGCCTCGTGATCTCGCGGCTGGCGATGGCTGATTGCCCAGTGGCAGCTGCGGCTGTAGGCTACTGTAGGTACTGCAGAGGTCATTGCTTTTGCTGGAGATGGCATGTTTCTTCGTCCTGCCTGTTTTGCGTGCAGCGTAATCATCAGCATCAAATCATCACCACCACATTCCAAACTTTTCCTCCGCAATTCTCAGAAGTTTGTTTCTTGTGTATCTCAGGCTCACGCGATGGTCGATGGATGACATAGCGCCTTGCTGGTGTCTTTCACGGACCTGGGGCTTGGCGCCGTCCTTGGTTGCGAACAGTTCGATTTTTTGTTCAAACTGTTGTTCGCAGCATTTTTGGCTACGAGTACGAGCGAGGGTTTTGTTTGCTGGAGTTTGGGGTTGAGGCCCGTTCGTGACAGTGTCCTCAGCTCCTGGATCTTGTCCTGTGGGTGTTGCAGTTTCAACTGCTGGCTTTCCACGGGTCGTGTCAGATTCCGTCACGCAGGGGACCTGTCCGTCTCGGATGTTGGTCAGTTGGATGGCGAAGACGGCGATTCGGGGGACGCGAGGGAAGCCGACGACGATGTGATCGGAGGGGATGTCAAAGGCACTGAGAAAGAAGCATTATGTTCGAGGGATCCTGACAAAGGAGTTCGTTCAAGGAAAATCCTACGGAGATCGAAAAAACCGGTCCACACTGGTGAGACTCAAAACTGACTGAAGAAGTCAGGAAAAGAAGCGACAACAAAGAACACACCAGATGCCATATTTGCAACTGAAAATATTTCGCGAGAAATCATTTCTCGCCTATCTCGCTGCGCTCGGCCGGCGAGAAATACAACTTCTTATTGACAGTTTGTAGAGCATCTGTGAAACGTTCGCGCAGATTTTCCTCCGTGTTATTGCCACCGATCTCCGATATGTAGTCTGCTGGAGCGGTGAGGTCGCAGTGCACTTCAATCATTGATGATCTGTGTGGACATGTAGTAGAAATGTGGGATTTAGCGTCGTTGCGTAACTGTTTTCAGCCCTGGTAGTTTTCAAGCCTTGGTTAGGCTAGAGGTATAAATGTCCAATCATCCGTTGATGAACTGGGGGATAATATAAACAACTTCACAGGGTATGGTGAAAGTAACTTCCAGTAGATGCGACCTATCACCTCTTACACAACAATAATACCTACTAATTACGTTCCATTTTCGGTCCTTCTATATCGTCTTCCTCCAAAATTGAAAACATCTATGCGCTTAGCAGATAATCGCACAGTACTGGGCAGTTATAGGTGAAGGAACTGCACCACTTTGAGCACTCAGGCTTAAAATGTCTACAGACAGTATTATCCACTTTCCTTCGCTGGCTTTGAATCGAGTCATTTTCTTACCGTAAAAATGGTTAAGGACAAAATGTTACAAACTGTTCAGCGATTTAAGCAGACCATATACAGTCAGGGAGTGTGACAAAGTGGCAAAGAACTGACAAGGGATAATGTTCTTACCCAAGTTGACTGTCTGAAAAGAAATCAATCTCCAGTGCTCTCTTGGGGAATAATATTGACAGCACCTGAAATATGGAAACAGTAATAATGATAACTTGAAAACTCAGCCTATCAAGTTAGCAAGAAAACAAGCCATGCAAAAAAGCTGAGACCATAGTTAAACTTCAAACGTGACAAATCAGTCAAAAGAGGCTCCCATGTCATCTAAAACAATGTTCATTTCAATTTTGTCCTCTTCAACACAGTTGCAAGCCTCAGGCATTTCTTGGATGGTCTACACCACCCGCAAAACGTCTACCTGAGATTTCAGGTTTCACAGAACATCTGAAATCTTTTGCAATTTTACAAGAATTTCATGCAACTACAGCTCACATTGGATTTGAAGAGATTCTGAACGTTTGAGCTTGTCTGACCATCATAGAGACCGGATCCTGTAAACCGCCCGAATATCCCAATCTGTGCACTGCCTGCAACAAGAAAAAGATGTTATCCTTGCCAATATCCAAATAACATTAAACTGCAACAAAAGCGAGAGTTCCAAGATTAACTAGAGTCTTTAACACCACAAGTTTTCAAAACTGATTCATCAGGCCATGCATTACATACATGTAGCTTAGATTCACTGTCACCATTGTTATTGTCACCATGCATGACATGTGGGGGTGAACTCAGTTCACTGTCGCAAATAAACGTCAAGTGAATAGTGCTTCCAGAACTTCCAGTTCGTTCCCGAAACAACCTGTGTCCAGCCTACCCTCACGCAGTTGTCCCCATCTGGAACCAGGTGCCCGCTGGAGTCTTCTCTGGTACATTCTGCACAAAGAAACTTGCAACATTTCAAGGTTGCAGCCAACCGCTATTTAAAGACCAACGACTGGTCGTGGGCACATGACCATCTCTGAGTATCAGCATCATGTCTGCCTCACCCCATGACTTTCAAACTCCGCTCCACATCCTGCTCCCATTAATACCATTTCTTTGTTTCTCTCTCTATCCTCCAAACACTGGCTGTTTCATCTTTCCCCTCCTTCAACTGTACTTTCTCTCCTTCTAACATTTCGTATCAGTTACCTGTCACTCCTTTCATTTGTTTCTTCTTCTTTCTGTTTGGTGCGTGTTATGTCCCCATGACGTCGAGGCCTCAGGTCGGCTGAGAAATGCCTCGCCATCACTTTGCTCCCACATATGTACATGTATATTTTTGTATTTGTCTTTGCGCTATGATCATTGTAAAAAAAAAGAAAAGAAAAAAAGCACGAGTCAGTGATGGTGCACCTGTCCAGTGCGCGAATGACTATGTGCAGCAGCAGCAGCACAGCACTAGTCCAGCACCCTTTTCTGCAGCCACTGGCAGTGTAGGGGCCCATGATCTGAGCTGTGGTGGGATGCAGAGCAATGCCTCTGGAATGTGCATCCCAAGCATGTTATCTGCAAGAGTGTGCTTGGGTGGCAGCAGCAAAAGTCACATTGATACTACTGATTCCAGGGCCTGAGTGGGATCCTTCAGGACTACAAACACTGCAAACCTGCAGGGAATGCAACAGTCCACCAGCAGCAGGTCATGTTTGCATGCTGATGGAGGTGTCACATCAGCACGAACAGCAAGGATGGAACATTACCACAAAGGCAGAGGAGAAAAGGGACAACCGGCAAGATCATTGTTGTAACGCTAGGTTTCATGCACACATAGCGACAACTAGATTGCCTTAGCCTTGCTATGAATGCAGCGTTACAACAATTACCTCTCCGCTTCTCTCTATCCTCTTCTGCCTTTGTACTATAGACTTGTTTGGAAATTAAGATTGACACCAAAAATGCTTTGGGAGAAACGCTTTGGATATATCTCAACCTGATTTTGTTCAATTCCATTTCAAAGGAGCCCAGAGTGAGATAATTCTCAGCAGAGACTGGATATCAATATGAGACTCGAATCAGTATCTTAGAGTTTGGTATTTTGCTCATGTGTTGCCACCAATATATGATAAAATATCATAACAGGTCCACCAGCATGGAGCGAAACAGTATTATTACTTTACTAACCTTGTACTGTAAGAGTAAATATTGACTCAACACTTCCAATACCGTTTTTGACTCTGCATGCATATCTCCCAGTGTTGCACAGGTGCAGAGTGGCAAAAGACAACACCAGGGACTGGGAGGATTCTTGTGTGACACTTGGTCCTGTACAGGTAGGGTTATCAGCAATGCATCTTCCACTGCTGTCGACTCTACACCATCGTGGTGTGGGTTCAGGATTGCCAGTAAATGCACATGGAACTGCCAACGATGATCCGTCAAAGGAGAGCAATGTTGCTGGTATTGGAGGGTTGATGGATGGTTGAACTGGAACAAAGAAGGAGAGGATAATGTACTCTCTGAATGGAAATACATGTAGGAATTGAAAGCTTGATAAAGTACTTCGAGGGAATAGACAGTGAAGCAAGCGCAATGTGACATGTGCCCCTAAGCTCCAGCTCAATTTTCAGGAGTCCGTAACCTGGAAAAATCAGAGTGAGGCATCTAACTATAACAATTAGTTCAGAATAATTATTGTCTCTGTCAATACAAGCATTCAATACTAGCGCAACCAATTCCAATTTGAGCAATGCTGCAGTGTATTTGAGGGGTCTTTGCCACATTGCGCATTAACCCATTTTTGCACATGAAGGCAAGATATGTAACATCTGGTACGAGTTTATTATTCTACTTGGCCCGCCCAGTTACAATTGGCGCTTATCTTCACACTTGTCACAGTCTCAGGCAGGAAAGACGAATATCTGAAGCAAGCCACGATCACAAAGCACTATGTACACGATTATTTACATGTCAGTAAGCAACTCAGTCGAATATTCACTGCCCGAATGTTGGCTGTAAGTGTTATCCCCGTTCGTGGCAATAATGCGATTTTGTTTGAGACAAAAAGGCACGCAGTGTCCTTTTTTCAAATCGCCTCTTGCGTTTCTCGTACTAATAATAGTTACTTGCTGATCAGCACCCACGCGAGCCGCAGGTGCTTGTACATGCAGTGCAGTGAGAGCTTCCGCTTGATGTAACACCAGTACCTGTGCGTACTGCATAAGTCCTAACGCCGTGCACCAGGCCTTTCGGCAAGTTTCCTGAAGGTCCTTTGCACGAGTGTTTCCCTCAGGACTTGGTGCTTATTTTTATTAGCTCATTTGGCCTGTCCTCTGTGAGCTTCAAATGGTGTCCGCCAGATTGGTCTCACTTTCTGGAGATGTCGACATGAGCTGCAGTTTCTTCGTCAGCGATTTGCTGGTGATAGCCCTTCACTAGGCGCTGTACTGTGCAAACACTGAAATTCAAGCTCGCGAAGTGCTTTTTCAGCTTAGCCCCATCCCTCACACAAACAAGTCAACAAAGAGGCATCTTTGGATTGAGGAGTGCTGGTTTCGAAACAACTGGTTTGAAGCTCAAAGTAGAGCTGGTGTTAGCTCAGAGCAGAGCTGCTGTTAGCTCAGAGCAGAGCTGCTGTTAGCTCAAAGTAGAGCTGCGGTTAGCTCAAAGTAGAGCTGCTGTTAGCTCAAAGTAGAGCTGCGGTTAGCTCAAAGTAGAGCTGCGGTTAGCTCAAAGTAGAGCTGCTGTTAGCTCAAAGTAGAGCTGCTGTTAGCTCAAGGTAGAGCTGCTGTTAGCTCAAAGTAGAGCTGCTGTTAGCTCAAAGTAGAGCTGCGGTTAGCTCAAAGTAGAGCTGCGGTTAGCTCAAAGTAGAGCTGCTGTTAGCTCAAAGTAGAGCTGCGGTTAGCTCAAAGTAGAGCTGCTGTTAGCTCAAAGTAGAGCTGCTGTTAGCTCAAAGTAGAGCTGCTGTTAGCTCAAAGTAGAGCTGCTGTTAGCTCAACGTAGAGCTGCAATGCTAAATGGATGTAATATAGCGCAAGGCAGAGCCGCAGCAAATAGCTAGATAACACCAGTTGTGAGAGTGGACCCGATTAGTGGGTACGATAATTATGATGGTGTGAATAAGTTGGATAGGGAGGGATGGTGGGAAAAGAAACACTGCTGAAGCACGATCCGTTGTCTGGAAGAGCACAACAGGGCAAGCAAGATTTGTTTTTCTTTTCCGCAAAATGGGCTGGTGCCATTTGTGATTACGCAGCAAAACAAAGCGCATGACGTCAGTATTGAATGCAGTACAAAGCAATGCAGTGCAGTGTGTGCGCTAGTTCGGATTGTTGCTAACAAGTACTAGCACAGCTAGTACACCATTAGCCCCATCCCTCACACAAACAAGTCAACAAAGAGGCATCTTTGGATTGAGGAGTGCTGGTTTCGAAACAACTGGTTTGAAGCTCAAAGTAGAGCTGGTGTTAGCTCAGAGCAGAGCTGCTGTTAGCTCAGAGCAGAGCTGCTGTTAGCTCAAAGTAGAGCTGCGGTTAGCTCAAAGTAGAGCTGCTGTTAGCTCAAAGTAGAGCTGCGGTTAGCTCAAAGTAGAGCTGCGGTTAGCTCAAAGTAGAGCTGCTGTTAGCTCAAAGTAGAGCTGCTGTTAGCTCAAGGTAGAGCTGCTGTTAGCTCAAAGTAGAGCTGCTGTTAGCTCAAAGTAGAGCTGCGGTTAGCTCAAAGTAGAGCTACGGTTAGCTCAAAGTAGAGCTGCTGTTAGCTCAAAGTAGAGCTGCGGTTAGCTCAAAGTAGAGCTGCTGTTAGCTCAAAGTAGAGCTGCTGTTAGCTCAAAGTAGAGCTGCTGTTAGCTCAAAGTAGAGCTGCTGTTAGCTCAACGTAGAGCTGCAATGCTAAATGGATGTAATATAGCGCAAGGCAGAGCCGCAGCAAATAGCTAGATAACACCAGTTGTGAGAGTGGACCCATGAAACCAGCACTCCGTTAGCTAAGCACTATTGACGCACAGCAAGGGTCAATTTATGTCAGCACAGGCAAGCATTGCGCAGCTAGAGTTCAGTAGCTCATTACTCACCCGAGTTGGGGATCATGGCATCCATGGCACGGCAGCAAGCCGGGACGATAGCTGGCGCTTAGCGCGTGTTGTAGTCCGGATGTAGCATAGACACGCATCGCTCTTTCCACTGACCTGCCACTCGGAAGAAGGAGTCGGGGCACTAGCCATAGCAGCGGTGGTGGCTGCACCAATGTAGACCGAATGCCCGGAGTAGTTCGACTGGGATGGTACACCGGCCGCAGCGACAAGAGACCATGCTGTTACTGTGAATGACTGCCTGGTCAGCTGCTGTCTGTTCGAGAGTACGAACAAGAGTTGCTCTGGTCCCTCGCGACGAGTGACAAATGGGTAGCTAACAATGGCACGGACCGGGCAGTACGGCGGTACAGACGGGCCAATGTCACTAGTAACGCCTTTACCGAATGGGTCCGTCTTGGATGAAAGCAGGAAGAGTTGCAAGCGTCCGTCACCAGGGGAGCTAGTACAGCCCCGTGTGATGCCATTAGTGAATTCAGCACACCGAAGAAATCCAAAGAAGCAGCATGGCGGCTTGGTAGAG